TTAGCTTTAAAGGCTATACACCTTCAATATTGTTCCCATTGTTAGGTCCTGAAGCATTAGAGGTGCACATTGACCGGATGCTCTTGATGATAGCATGGTTTCCACTTGGCTGGCAGATAACTCGACTGGTCGGCAAGTTGACGCCAGCAGAGAGAGCGCCAGATATGACGCGACCAGCTACCACTGGTTGACCTAGGCCTACAGGCTTGAAGAGATCGCTAACTACGAAGCGGAGAGGAGCATCGACCTGACGTTCGGGGACAGGAAGTTTATCTGCAAATGAAAAAAGTGCTAGTAAAAGACAAGCAAAATAATTTGTGGATGAGTTATTGCTTAAGCCAGGTCATGGCAACATCGTATACGCAAGAACCAACACAAAGTGAAAAAGTACTTGCCGATAATTTCTAACAAGCTGGGTCCATTATACCAGGGAGCTAATTCCATCATTTTCGATCCTCGTTCAGCTTTAGATTTTGGCACAAGGTTATCACCTGTCAAGCCCGAAACAGGACAGTATACAACTTCAGTAAGATTTAAAGATTTAAGAAAGTTGGCCAATCTTTGACGGATTTCATCATAGCGAGTCTGAGACCAAGAGACTGTATCCATTTTATTTACGGCAACAATTATTCCATTGACACCTAAAAGTCGCACTAGACAGGCATGCTCTCGAGTTTGGCCAAGACCAACATCAAATCCTGTTTCGAATTCGCCATTGGATGCATTCACCACAAGCAATGCAGCGTCTGCCTGGGAAGCTCCGCCAATTACTCTCGGAACAAAATCGCGATGCCCAGGTGCATCTAAAAGGGCTATCTTAAAATAAAATATAAAAAGATAATGAAGGTAGCAAGGAGTTTAAAGGGAAATATCATAACCAAAATCAAGAAACATACTCGCTTTGTTCTAGTTTCGAAGGCAGTTTGAGCTATGTCCATTGTCACACCACGTGAGCGCTCCTCTGAAGTTTGATCGAGAATCCACGCGTAGGCAAATGAAGCTTTACCCATTTTTTGAGCTTCCCACTGAAACTTGGAAAGCTGCTTTGAAGAGACATTACCAAGCAAATACAATAAATGCCCCATCAAAGTACTCTTCCCAGCATCAACATGTCCTAAGAGAAGCCGAAATGTAAATATATTCATTAAAAATTGTAGAGACAAATTATAGGTATAAATATCTCATAAGACTAACCAACTACAATAAGGTTAAGTATGCTCTTTTCTGATAAAGATTTTTGATGCTGAGTATACTCATGAAGAAGGCTTCTCCTGTCTATAACCTGCTTGGAAGGGCTGGCAGTAGCAGAAAGAGGAATGTGGAGAGCTTTGAAGGCATGTGACTTTTCTGTAT